TCGTGTCTTCCCAGGCGAATCGTTGAGTCCTTGAATCCATGTCTTATGAGTTTTCTCCATCCCCTCCAACTCTCCGGTAACTGCCAAATTTGTGTTGGGAGGCTGAGTTCTTGAAGGTACCTGCCCAAGTAGGTACTACCATGGTTCAGTGCAGTATGGAACAGTAGAAAGGGCAGCAGTTCCTCTGGAATCAGAGAACCTGAGTTCAAATCCCCCCTCAGACACTTACTGTCTGAGATGTTAGGCATACCCAACTTCTCTGGAACTCAATTCCTCATCTGTTAAACAAGAAGATTGAACTTTCAGATCCCAGGGTTGGTTTTTTTTTTCAGTCCTAAATTTGCAGCCCTGCAGTACTACTTAATATCTGTGTAACTTCAGGCAACCCATTACCCCTCCCCCTTGGCCTCAGTTTCCTCATCTGGAAGGTGATGAGTTTGAACTAAATGACCTCTTGGGCTCTTTCCAGCTCTACATCCATAATCCTATGCCTACTTAATAGCTGCATGTCTTCAGGCATCTCATTACCCTGCCTTGGCCTTGGTTAGATCAAGAAGGTGAGCAGGTTGGACTAAATGACCTCTTCAGTGCCTTCAAGCTCCATTTCTAGGATCCTGTGGGCGCAGTCCAAGGATGTGCTATGCTGAACACTCTCCTAAATGGAAGAGTCTCACCATCACATTGGCCACCAGGCTGATGACTTTCTTTCTTTCTTCCTTTTTTCTTTCTTTCTTCCTTTTTTCTTTCTTTCTTTCTTTTTTCTTCCTTACTTCTTTCCTTTCTTTCTCTTTCTTGCTTCTTTCTTTCTTCCTTCCTTTCTTCCTTCCTTCTTTTCTTTCTCTTTCTTCTTTCTTTCTTTCATTCTTTCTTTTTTTTTTTGGCTGTCATGACTTATGAGGTACGAAGCAGTTATAATCTGCTTCAGCACAGGGAGGATCCACACTGATGAAATGAAGGGCAGTTATAAAGAAGAGGCATTAACCTTGTCCTGGTTGTCCCCAGAGATTAGAGCCAGGAGCATCAGGTGGAAGTTATAAAGAGTGAATAAAATTTAGGTTCAAGGTCAGGGAAAAAACCAACCCTTCCTAGCAATTATACCTCTCTAAAAGTGAGTAGGCCTTCTTGGAAGGTGGTGGGTGACCAAGTGATAATATATTATAGGGAGACTCACTTTTCATTTATAGGGTGGCCACTAATGGGGAATTTTTGCCATGCCCATGAAGTGTGACAGCACCAAGGGTAGAGTACAGGTGTGGGGGGGGGGGCTGATAAAACTAGTGAAATGAAACTGAGTCCCTTAAATTCCCTTTCCATGTTTAGATGTTTCCCTTTCTTAATAAATACTTGTTGCTTTGGCTTCCTTTTTATCTCACCTCCATTATCCCTAACCAAAGGTATCTTTCTTTCAAAACATCTGAACATTAATCAAGGCTCTGTGCTGCAAGGAGATCTCCCCAACCAGGCAGACTTCTCAGCTGCTAGACACCTGTCTGTCTTGCAGTTAACAAAGAAATCAATCATTCACTGAACAAGCATTTATTAATATGTATCGGGGCAACTAGTTGGCACAGTGAATAGAGTGTCAGGTGAGTTCAAACTGACCTCAGACAGTTACTAGCTATGTGACCCTGAGTAAGTCACTTAATCTTGCTTGCCTCAGTTTCTTCATCTGCAAAATAAGCTGAAGATGGAAATGGTAAACTACTCCAGTATCTCTGCCAAGAAAACCCCAAATGGGGTCACCAAGGGTTAGACATGACTGAAATGACTGAACAACAGTGTATGTCAGGCCCTGTACTGGGTGCTGGGGATAGAAAGACATTAGTGAAAGAAGCCTTGCCTTCCAGGAGCCTACTGGGAGGTGGAGTGAGAATCAACTCATACAATCCATACAAAATATAGAAGGAGAGTAGAAAGTAACTTGGGATGAAGGGGAAAAGGGTAATGGCAACTGGGAGGAAGCAGAAGTCCTTCCCGATCCCCGGTAATACCAATGTCTTTCCTTTGCTGATCATCTCCACTTTATCTTGTAGGTAGCTTGTGCTGTGGGATGTTGCTTCCTCAATTGGACCATGAGCTCCTTGAGCGCAGGGGTTATACTTTACCTATTTTTGTATCCTTGGTGCTTAGCACAGTACAGGGCACATAGAAGGCCCTTCATAGATGCTTTTTGACTGACCCAAAAAGAACTCATGCGGGAGGTGACACCCAAGCTGAGTTCTGAAGGAATCTGGGAAGCCTCAGAGGCAAAGGTGAGGAGGGAGAGGTTGGAGGCAGGTGCTTCTTATACTTTTCCTTGAGATGTTCAAAGCCACTGGAACCACTGTAGGCACCAGGATTTCTCACCTCCATCCCCACAAGCCACACACAGTCCTTCCAGATCTATCTCCTTGAATTTCTCCATCTCATCCTAGCTCTCAGAACCCTTCTGGACAGAATCTTCTGACCTTCATGTGTTCAAACCAACCTCCAGGCAACCCCTCACCCTTCCTGGGTCCATCATCTACTGGAGCAACCTGACTTTCACTGAAGGCTCCAGTCATTTCCCCCTTAACTCAGATGAACTTTCCAAGCTTCCCTCCTGCACATCCTCAGCCTTCCCTTGCCCTTCTCCCCAAGGGCCCTCAGGAAAGAAAATGAATTCATTCATCTAGCAGGTTTGGTTTTGTAGGAACCACTATTTCAATGATATGATGAAGCTGCTGGGCATAAATACACAGTCTATAACCCTTCAGGTATTCCTTGTGTCTCTGTGTAATGTGTGTGTGTGTGTGTGTGTGTGTGTGTGTGTGATTTAAGTGATACTGTGTATGTCTGCACACATACTTATTGGATCCAATGAGACCATATATGTAAAGTGTCCTGCACACGTGAAATCACTATACACGTGCAAATCAGTATTGTTATTATTATTATTATTAATGTTGGTTCTTTCACCTGTTTTGATGGTTTGTGTGACTGTGGGCCAGGTCACTTAACTTGTGTTTGCCTCAATCCACTGGAAAAAAAAAATGGCAAAACACTCTAGTATTTTTGCCAAGAAAAAACCATTGATAATGAACGGCCTTACGTGCCACGGTCCACGAGGTCACGAAGACAGTAACAACAACAAACAAAAATTGCCCTGGGACTTGTCCTTTGTTTAATTATTCAGTTGTGTTTGACTCTCTGTGACCCTGTGTGGGATTTTCTTGGTAGAGATACTGGAGTGGTTTGCATTTCCTCCCCCAGCTCATTTGACAGATGAAGAAACTGAGGCAAACAGGATTAAGTGACCTGCCCCGGGTCACACAGCTAGTAAGTGTCTGGAGTGAGATTTGTGCTCAGGTCCTCCTGACTCCAGGCCCAGTACTCTATCCACAGTGCCACCTAGCTGCCCACTAGTCTATTATTCTTCCTTTATATTTAATGTGCTACAGACTACTGTTCAGGCGGATAGAATGGCTGCTTTTGTCACTGAATATGATGCCTAGGAGATAGGCTCATCTTCTACGTACACAGTGGAGTCATCTTCAAGACACCTTCAGGAACCATAGAAGGATGAGGATGCGGGTGATGTTTCCCTAGAGCTTGACCAAAAGTCATCAGAACTGATCCCGGTATGTAGAATGTATCACAGAGTATCAGGGCTGGAAGGAATGTCAGAGACCATCTAATTGTAGTAGAAGGATCCAGGCATTTGGAGTCCAAAGGCAAATCCCACCTGGTCTGTGTGATATTGGGCAAATCACTGGACAGATCTGGTCTTCAGTTTCCTTCTCTGTAAAATGACATGCTTCTGAAGTCCCTTTCAGCTCTAAATTATGATCCAGTCATTTTACAGGGGAGAAAGCTGAGGCTCAGAGTGGGGAAGAGTGACTAGTCCAAGGTCACAGAGCTCCCTATTCATTCACTCATGCATGCATGAGTGCATTTAGTTATTCATTCAGTGTTCAATATTTACTGTGTGCCTGTCACTGAAGATACGAAACAAGATGAAGAAAACAAATTCCTTCCCTCGACGAATTTATTCTCTACTCAATTCTTAACCTGGGGAACAGGAACTCTATGTGTGTCTACTTGTATGTGTGCATTGTTATGTATGCAGGTATGGTATATATGTATATATACAGCATGTAAGTCTATTGTGTCTGTGTTACAACATACGCATATGTACCTACGTGCGCATACAACATATGTTTGTGTATATATCGATATATGTGTATATGTCGATAATACTACGCATTATATTCTATGCATGTAAAAACATTCTTATGAGAAGAGGTCCGAAGGCTTCACCAGACAGATACAAAATACTCGTAAAGAAGCTGGCGGTAACCAAGCTCCCCAGCAGCTTAGCTGATACCAGGACCTAGTTGTCCCTGGTCTCAGCCCAGTGCCGTGTCTCGCTACACTGCCTCGTGATCATACACGCACGGGGGGCCATGCCTCCCAGCTGCCTCAAGCTCATCGATCAGTCTGAGAACATGTGAGCGCTGCTGGGCGTGGGAGGGAGGAACGCGAGGTGTGGAGCTTGCAACACTAGGAGCATGCTTTTAAGATTAGTCTTAATCCTGAGATGGCTTGCTTAATTGAGCCCTACAAAGGACCCGGCTCCTCTCTCTCCAAAAGCTTCCCCCACCCCGCATTTTGCTAAATGATGTGAGAAAACGGGGCCTCTTTCGGAAAATTAAAGGATGCTAAGTAAGGTTATTTCCTTGAAGGAGAGTAATCATGGGGAGTTCTCTATTCCCCACCTCCCCCCTCCCACACACACACACACACACACACACACACACACACACACACACACACACACACACACGAAATATTGGCACCAGGTACTGAGATCTGCTGGAAAATATTCCTCCGAAGTCCAGGGCCCCGGCGCTTGAATGAGTGTGTGGCCGCTCATTGGCTGACCGGCCCCGCTCCTGATTGGCTCCCGATCCCGGGGAGCGATAAGAGCGGCTATAAATTCCCTGGGTGCTGCTCGGGAGCCCCCAGTTTGTCCAAGCCAAAGGTGCCAGCACCTCCATTCTGAGCGCGGCAGCGGCTGCAACGCCAGCAAGCTCGCAGCCAGCAGCCTCGCCCGCTCCCCGCCTCAGCCTCCAAACGTCCAGATCCACGTCTTCTCTCAAGCCGGGAGAGACAGGGAGGAAAGGAGGGGGGAGGAGGAGGAGAAGGAGGGAAGTGGGGATAGGGGGAAAAAACCCGGCAACTTAGCGGGAACTTCTCAGAGAATGGTCCACAACTCCGCCGTGTTGCTGGTGCTGGTGATCGGCGCTTCTGCAGCCACCGACTCGGAGCAGAATGACTCGGTGAGCCCCAGGAAGCCCCGGGGGGCGGCTCACAGCTCAGGTAAGCGGCCGGCCCGGCAGCGGGCACTACCCGCCCCCCCGTTTTCCCACTGCCCCTCCCTGCCCCCCACCCTAATCCCCCAGAGCTGTCCTGCATCTCCCGGCTCTTCTGCTAAAGCGTCTGCGGTTGTGTGTGCCGGCCGGCAGGCTGGAGCTCCGAAACGTGTTTCATTCATGCCCTGTGGCCCTAAAGCGGCGGGGGCAATCCAATAGCTCCAGGAAGCGAACCGCCTTTGTCTAATAAATTTCTATGCGACTGACGAAGAATCCGAAGAGAAGGCGAGCCCGGGGCTGAGGGGGTATTTCGTTGCATAAGCCTCTCAGTCAGATCGCCTGTAATCTGGCACGTACCCTGCTGGGAGGAGGGCTGGGGAGGGGGCGTGGGGAGCGTTTCCAGGCACGCTCTCAGCGCTTCGCAGGGACTGGCTCTGAAGGTGAGACCCGGACAGGCTGATGCAACCCAAGCCCCCCTTAGAAAAAAAAAAAAACACTTGGCATCCTCAGCCTTGCGGAGAGCACATGCTAAAATGAGAAGAAAAAATCCTTGAACCCTCAGGAGTGATGGGTCATCAAGGATGAATTCAAAGAGAAGCGCATTCCCTCTCCCCGGCCCTAGCATTGAAACATTGGTGCATCACATGACTAAGAAAACCCTTTAATTTTTTTTCTTTTTTTTCCCCCCAAACTGCAGCTGTTTGTCTGAGTGAAAGGGCTTTCTAGTCCTGGCTTCCGAAGCAGTTCCTTGCCTGTTGCCTTTGTCTCTAAAGGGTTAAGGGTCACTAGGAGTCAGCAGGGACATCTCTGGCCCCTGTTTTGTCTCCACACCTTTGTTCCCCCTCTGGTACCCGAGCACCTTTTCTCTGCTCCCTGGCCTCTGGGGAATCATCCATTCCCCACGCCTTCCCAAAGGTCAGAGCTGGGTCCTAGACGATGGAGCTTGAAGGGACTTTAAGAGCATCTAGCTCAAGCCTCTCATTTCACAGATTTAAAAAAAAAAAACAGACTCTGCGATGGGAAGTGACTAGCTCAAGGTCACCGAGAGAGCAAACATCAGAGCCAGGGTTCAAATTAGGCTTCTCAGACTTCCAATCCAGAGAGCCTTCCACCCCACCCTGAAAGATCAGCGTGAATGCATAATCTCAGAATCAGGTTTCAAACTACGGTAGATTTTGAGAGAACACCTATTCCAACCCTCTTCTATTGCAGAGCAGAAAACAGATGCCTAGAAAAGGAATGGAACCCAAGACTTAAAAATTTAGATCTGGAAGAGAACTCAGATCATCTAGCCTGACCCCTTGCTTGAAGAGAGTTGAAATGACTTGCCCAAGTTATATGCCCATAGCTAGTTAGTGGCAGGATTTGAAACCATGTCCTACAGCTAGTAAGTGGCAGAGGATTTGAACCCACCTCTCAGCTTTTCCTGACACCAAAGAGATAGCGGCAGGTGTCAGATGGGTAGCTTCTCTCCAGAATTTGTCCTGCTTCCTCCTTCCCAGAAGACACACGCAATTTCTCCTCCACCTCCACCCTCCCCCAGCCCAATGGAGAGTAGTAGGTCTCTGGGCAATGGTCCCATTTCCTTTTGTACTTTGGTTGCTATAGAAATCCAACGATTCCCTCCCAACTCTAGCCTGCCTAAGACAATAGCAGCCCTAATGCATATTAAAACTGCTTCGAGCAAAGTTATCATTTGAACCCGTGGAAATCTATAATTAGGGAAATGACTTGTAGCATCCCAGAGGCTGGGGAGGGGGGAGGGGCGGGGAAGCCCAACTGAACCCAGGAAGCTTTTGATCTCTGAGGAGAATCCTGTGGAATGGAGGCTGCAGATAGCTTCTTGCTGAGCTGCCTGCCAGAACCCACCCCACCCCCCCTTCTGGAGGGAAGAAATTACTTTTATGGGAGATCTTATCCAGAATGCAAAAACCCTCATGCAAGTTTTCATCTTGTGGTTTTCTCCCAGTCTTGCACAACGGGGTCCTTGGACTCATTACTCCACACCTGTGTCTCTCCTAAATAAGGCTTTTAATGTCGAGAGAGAGAGAGAGAGAGAGAGAGAGAGAGAGAGAGAGAGAGAGAGAGAGAGAGAGACAGAGAGAGAGACAGACAGAGAGAGAGAGAGAGAGAGAGAGAGAGAGAGAGAGAGAGAGAGAGAGAGAGAGAGAGAGAGAAAATATGACTGAATATTGTGTGTTGCTCTGAGCACGATTCTATAATGGGGGGGACTAGGGAAAAATACCAGCTGGCTCTATTCCCTTTTTGGCCAACCCAAAGGTGAATGTGACTCGGGCAGCCTAGGAGGCTGATGGGTTCACAGGTGGACATGTGGAATCGTTTTCTACCCTTCTGTGGTGAATTGTGAGACAATGTAATACAGTGGCTGGAGGGAACACAGAGTGGTATACTTAGAGTCAGAAGGCATCTAATCAACCCCCTCATTTCAGAAATGAGAAAATTGAGTCCAGAGACTGCGCTGTGATTGGCCCAAGGGCATGGAAGTAGTAGAAGGAAAAAGAAGGTTTTGAACCCAGACCTTCAAATTCCAAAATCCAGTATTCTTTTTGCTGTATCATGCTGCCTCCCAAGGTTTGGTCTTTGGATCAAGAAGGCCTGGGCTCAAGTCCTTCCTTCTCACACTTACCAGCTGTGTGACCCATAGCTAGCCACCAAACTTCTAAGGCTCTGAAGTCCCAGAGGAGTCGATGATTGGCATTGGTGAAGGGAGTTTCCAAACTGGGAGTTTCCCTCAATGACAAAGAATAGATTTGGACTTTTTGAAAAAGTATGTTCTCGAAAGAGCTCTCTAGAGCCAAACTGGCTGGTTTCCTTCTCCACTGCCTCCCCACCCCCAATCTTACCTAAGTGCAGACATTCCTGCTTTCTGAACTTATACCTGTTTCTTAGAATGCCTGTTAAGTCCTAAAGGTAATAATGCCTTATAAGACTCAGTAAAGGGAGGCATTGTGGGACAGTGGAAAGATCGTCAACTCTTAAGCCCGAGAACCTGGGTTCAAAGTCTGCCTCTGACTGTTCACTTCCTGTGGACTCTGGGCAAGTTGTCTCATCTTTTTGGGGGGTCACATTCCTCTGACTCATGGATTGGTTTAATGGCCTCCGAAACCCCTTTCAGCTCTGAATCTGTGATCCTAACAGCTACTCACATTTCTGTAACAACTGGGGAAAGCCTTTTCTTCCCAACAGCTCTGTGAACTAGCTATTATCCCATTTACAGATAGAGAAACCGAGGTTTGGAGAAGTGTTATAAATTACTCATCCAAAGTGGCACAGCTAGTGGTCTTCTGATTCTTAATCCCAGGCTTCTTTTTTTTTTGGGGGGGGGAGGCAGGGAAAGGGAGGATATATCCTCCCCCACCTTTCCTCTGTAGAATTAAACATGTGCTCCAGTTGGTAAAGGTTTCAATTTAGGACCAGAGGACTTGAATTCAGATCCTACATCTGCAATGACTTTGGACAAGGTCACCTCTGGGCTTCTCACTGGATCATAAATTAAGACCAGGAAGAGATCTTAGAGCTGAAGAAATGAATTGCCCAAGGTCACACAGCTAGTCTGAGAAAGAATTTGAGGCTGTATTTGAACTCAAGTCTTCCTGACTCCCAAGCCCATTGAACGAAGTGACTTCTAAGGTCCCCTGTGGTTAACATTTTATGATCCTGTTTTCTGAGACATTCAAATAAGGAGGAAAATCTCCGGGTGGGTGGACCCTTGCCTCTCATTCTTTCATATTTCTTCTCCCTCCCTCCTCCTTGGGCATCCCACTTTGATTCATTTGCTGGTTTCATACCTAGAGGCAACTGGTGGATAGAGCTAGAGTCAGGAAGACTTGAGTTCAGATCCAGCCTCAGACACTTACTAGCTGTGTGACCCTGGGCAAGTCACTTAACTTGTCTTCTTCAGTTTCTTCATCTATAAAACAGGAATAATTATGGCTCCTACCTCCCAGGGTTGTTGCTAATATTTGTGAAAGAGCTTAGTGCAATGCTTGGCGCATAGTAGGTACTTAAAAATTATTATTCCCAGGCAGCTAGGTGGTGTAGTGGAGAGAGTACTGGTCCTGAAGTCAGGAGGACCTGAGTTCAAATCCGGCCTCAGACACATAACACTTACTAGCTGTGTGACCTTGGGCAAGTCACTTAACCCCATTGCCTAACCCAAAAAGAAAAAAAGAGATGATTCCCTTCCCCTTCCTGTCCCATACTATGGACTTCTTGTCTGGGTTCTCTCTCCCTAAGATGCCAGACTCCACTGTAGAGGCCTCATCTGTCCTACCAACGTGCTTGAAGACTGGATCCCACCCCCACCCCACTGACTCGTGTTGTCTCTCCTCTTGTCAGCTGAAGTGATCCGATGCCTCAACAGCGCTCTGCAGGTGGGCTGTGGGGCTTTCGCGTGTCTGGAAAACACTACCTGTGATACAGATGGAATGTATGACATCTGCAAATCCTTCCTGTACAGTGCCGCAAAATTTGATACTCAGGTAAGAGGCATTGGGAGGGAGGGATCGATCACCTCCAGCCACAACTGAGGTGAATGTCTGAGTAAGGGACAGAGGCTGTCTTCCTTCCCCTATCCTCCTCCTCACCCCAACCCCAATCACCTTTGTGAACAAAGGCTCAGATCTTCACTCCACTGGGGGTCTCAGAGGGTCTTTGATGGGGGGTGACTATGGAGCAGTAGAAAGAGCTCTATTTGGAATCAGAGTACCTCAGATCAAAGCCTGGCTCTGCCCCTCATTCTGAGCCTCAGTTTCCTCTTCTGTAAAATTGGGGAGGGGGGTGTAAAACTATGACCTTTTAGGTCCCTTTCAGCTCCAACTGATGATCCTGTGATCCTGGTGGGATCGGACAGAGGTGGGGGAGCAGAAAATTACTTTTCCTTCATGTTATGAGCCCATAAAGGATTCCTTTCAAAATAGTTTTCTCCTAGAAATAAGAACTAGGAACTGGGCAGTTTTCCTTCTGGAAGCAAAGCCAAATGATGAGTCTCTTTCCTTGCAAAGGTTTTAAGTGGCTTCCGAGGTCCCTCTAAATCTGAAGGTTTTTTTCACGTTTCTCTCTAATATCACCTCCTTTCCTTTCTCACGACAACTCCAGAAGACGGGTGGAGGGGCACTCTGGCAGACAAAACTTCCACGAGCCTCCCGTGGGCTCAGGTACCTCAGTGACAGCCCCACGTTGGCACCATGCCCTGTTTACACCCAGCATCGTGCCTGTTGGCCCCAGAGGGTGCTGCTTTACTAGGGTGGGGACTGTAGCACATGGTGAAGATCCTGAGGCAGCAAAAGGCAAGGAAAAAAACCCGTAGCCTTGGGAGCCCCTCTCTGGTAAGATAAAGCAGTTAGGAAGCACTCACGAGCGATCCAGTCAGGCACTGCCTTCCAAGAGCTAGTTCTGTAGGAGGAAGACAATACATAGAGAAGAGCTGGGGACAGGCCAGATTCTAAGGTGGGGTGGGGGTGGGGAGGCTGTGGACAGAGATAAGGAGAATGGGCGGTATGAAGGTGAGATGGCCAAGGAGCAAGGAGGGCTGGTTCTGGGTAAGATAAGGTTAAGCTTCCCTATCAAAGCCAGGGAGGCCATTTCCTACATGTATAAGCTCTCCACACTACTACCCCCAAGTATGGCCCTCATTCCTCATGGCACTTTACTGGCATGATCTCATTTGAAGCTGGGCAGTTGGTGCTATGGTTACCACCTTCATTTTGTAGATGAGGAACTCAAGGCCCACAGAGGTCAAGTGACTTGGCCAAGGTCACAGAGCTAACAAGTACCAGAGGCAGGATTCTAACCCAGGTCTTCCCAACTTCAGCATTTTATCCACACATGGATACCTTCTTCTTTAATAATGAGGCAGTTAGGTGTCCCTGTGGATAGAGAGCTGGCCCTGGAGGAAGAACCCATTTCAAATCCTGCCCCAGACTTTTATTAGCTGTGTGACCCTGGGCAAGTCATCTGAATGCTCTGTGCCTCTGTTTCCTCCTCTGTAAAATGGGGATAATAATAGCACTTCCATCCTGAAGTGGCTATGAGAATCAAATGAGGTAATATCTGTAAAGTGCTTTGCAGACCTTAAAGCACTATGTAAATGATTTTATTGTTACTCATTTGTGTCCAACTTTTCATGACTCCACTTGGGGTTTTCTTGGCAGAGATACTGGAGTGGTTTGTCATTTCCTTCTCCAGCTCATTTTACAGATGAAGAAACTGAGGCAAACAGGGTGAGGTGACTTGCCCAAGGTCACACAGCTCGTAAGTGCCTGAGGCTGGATTTGAACTCAGGTCTTCTTGACTCCAGGCCAATCATCTTATCCACTGTGCCGCTTGGCTGCCTCATGTAAAAGATAGCTGTTATTAATGATCAATGTGCCACCTTCTTCACAGAGATGCCATGAGCACTTTGTGAAGTACACAGAGACATAGAAGGGCTGGCTAGTTTTATTTCTCAAGTGGCCAGGACACTGAGCCCCTGGGCCTGAAGCTCCTTCAATGGCTCTGGAGGACCTAGGCTTAGATTCTCACTCTGCTGCCGACTCCTTTTGGGCCCATGAGTGCATCATTGCCCCTATTTGAGATGGAGGTTTCTCATCGGTAAAACCAGAGGACGAACAAGATCAGTGACCCTCTAGCCTGGCCACTGCCCTTGGTCCAATCCTGCCTCCTCTGGAATGTTGCCTTAGTTACCCCAGAGGTGTCTCTGCTTCCAGACTCCCCCTTCTCTAATCCGTCCTTGACACAGCTACCAAAGCAAAGCACTCCCTGCTTCCCTCCTTCTCAAGAAGGTTCAAGGTCTCCCTGTCTCCTAAGCCCTTCCCAGCCTGACTCCGGGCAGACTGCACATCACTCCCCTTCTTATGGCCTCTCAAGTCCAGCTAAATTGCTTTTTTTCATGCACCACAAGGCATCTCCCATCTCTATAGCTTTGCCTCGTGCCTGGAATGTGCACCCTCCTCACCTGTTCCTTTGGGGATCCCCATCTTCCTTCAAGGCAAGCTCAAGGGCCAACCTTCCTACATGAAGGTCTTTCTTGATCTCCACTGCCACCATATGTTAGTGTCCTCTACAATGCCTTTGAATGTGCCTTCTAATTATTTGCTGTTATCTATGTTGTCTCTCTCCAGTAAGGGCCATTTCTTCTCTCTTTTCTTCCTGTTTCAGTATCCCCTGTACTTCACACAGTGCCTTGCAAACAGTGGGTACTTAATAAGTGCTTGTAGAGTAGAATGGTCCCAACCAATGCTAAGTCCCTCCTTTTCTCATGGACCTTTCAGGGAAAGGCCTTCGTCAAAGAAAGTCTGAAGTGTATCGCCAATGGCATTACCTCCAAGATCTTCACGGCCATTCGGAGATGTTCCACATTCCAGAGGATGATCTCCGATGTACAAGAGGATTGTTACCACAAGCTGGACATATGCGGTGTGGCCAAGAAGAACCCCGAAGCCGTATCTGAAGTGGTCCAGCTGCCCAATCAGTATTCCAACAGGTACCCCATTATTCCTTGGGCCAAAGACGGGAGGGGGGAGAGAGATGAGACAGACTGACCTCTGTGTCACCGAACCTTCCCTCGCCCTGCAGGGAGAATGGTAAGACTGCTCCTGAAGCTTTCGCTGCAAGGGTAGGAGAAATCATTCAAGACTTGCCGAATCACCTAACTTTAAAGTTAGGATTGCTTTCCAAAGTGTGTGGAAGGACCATAGGTCCCTATCTGGGAGTGACCTGAGGATTCACATAGTCCAGCCCTCTCACCTTCAGAGAAGAAAATTGAGATCTAAATGAGCGAAGGTGGGGCATTGGACAGAGTGCTCAAATCCAGCTTTAGATACTAACTAGCTGTGTGACCCTGAGCAAGTCACTTAACCACTTTCTGCCTCAGTTTCCTCACCTGTAAAATGGGGGTAACAATAGCCACTACCTCCTGGGGTCATTGTGAGGCTCAAGTGAGATAATATTTGTAAAGCACTCAGCACAGTGCCTGGCACACAGTAAGCACTATTTGTGAGCAATTATGATTGTTGTTGTTATACACATTGGCTCCTGAGTCTAAATCCAGCACTCTTCACTGAACAAATACTGATCAAATACCAGGCACTGGGGATACGGAAGCAAGAATGAAGCCATTCCTGCCCTCAGTGAGCTTATACTTTATTACTAGAGGGCAGACATTATGGTAGTCACTGAGGATACAGAAGCAAGAATGAAGCCATTCCTGCACTCAGTGAGCTTACACTCTAATACTAGGGGGCAGACACTATGGTAGACACTGAGGATACAGAGACAATGATGAGACAATCCCTGCCCTCAGTGAGTTTCCAGTCTCCTGAGCATTTATAAGTATTTACTCTATGAAGAGGAGAAGAAGCTTTTCTTCTTCTTCAGAAAGGGGAGGGGATCTAAGACCTGGGGTCCCTGCAGCTGGGTCACCATAGGCAAATCACTCTTTCCTCTTTGAGCCTATTTTCCTCACATGTCTAATGGCTCCAAGTTCCAGCTCAAAACATAAGATTGAGTCCCAGATTCAGCATCTATTCACTGCATGACCACAGGCAAATTGCTTAACTTCTCTAAGCAAATCAAAACTAGATAACCTGGGGGAAGGGGGTCCTTTCTAACCTTATATCTGTGATACTTTGATTATCCCCACTTTAAAGTGAAAAAAGTGGCCTTTAGAGAGATGATTTACCCGGAATGGGAAATTGAGCCAAGGGCTTCCTAGCTCCCAGCTCAGCATCTGATCTACTGTGTTGATGATAACAGGCATTTCATTTATAACAGTAGTTTCATTTTGCCAAGTACTTTATGTCTATTGTCTCATTGAAGCTTCACAGAAATCCTAGGAGATGGGTGCTATTATTATCCCCATTTTACAAATGAAGAATATGAGGCTCAGAGAGGTTTCATGACATTCCCAAAGTCAGAAAGCTAGCAATTATCAGAGGCAGGATTTGAACCCAAGTCTTCCTACCTCTAAATGCAGCACACTACCTGCTTCATTGTACTGGGTAAGGGGGTCTTGTGCAGAAAGGCCAGTCTTGACAATTCTACCCTGAACCCTACACATACACACACACACACACACACACCCCTTTCTTCCCCTTCTTGCTAATTTCCATCTTTCCTCATCTTCTTTTATTAACTGTCCAATCATAAATCTAGAGCCACAAAGGACCCCAGTAGTCATCTAGTCCACTCTTTTCATTTTACAGATGAGAAGACTGAGGCCGAGGTAGGTAGAAGTAACTTACCCAAGGTTACAGAGCTGGGTTTGAACCCAGCTCTCTCGTGACGTTCCCTGCAAAGCCCGAGCTGGCATTTGGAGACCCGCATTTTCAAAGCGACCTTTCCCCAGTGCTTTTGTTGGAGCTGGCTAAATTTTATGACTGTTTAGAGGGGCAGAGTTTTCCGGTTCCTTGACAGGCTGCCCTTCGCTAGCTGAGATCTCTGCTCCCCTGAAACATCCTGCTTTCCCAGCTCGATCTCAGCATAGACACACACAGAACCTGTGCCAATTGGCAAGGAGGAATAAGAGGAAGTAGTTAACGGTCCATTCCACTTTCCTGTGACTTATCTGAAGTAAGGTGGGGGAGGAGAGGCAAAGACCCCTGCCAGCCAGCCCTGCCCAGGAAGAAGGGCCAGCGAAGGGAAGCAGGTCCCTCGAGGAGCTGAGAGAGGGGGAGGTCAGGTGCCCGCCCCTATAGCTGAGCTTGGCCAGAGGTGGCCTTTTGCCACTGTGGGCAACCGGATGAGGCCGCCAGGGAAGGCTGAGAGTCAGTGAGCTCTACGCCCCAGACCAGAGCCAGTGCGTGTCACCGATGACGCTTCCCACCTCTCTGGTGCATGGACAGGGAACAGGAAACAGGAGAATAATATTGATCGAGGGAAACAAAAGGCTATTTATAAATTTTCACACACTGAGTTCCTAAGCCACATGGACTCCAGGGCTGAGAGGAGCCCAAGTCTGGGCTCAGATCGAAACTTGTGTTCTCGTGAGAAAGTTGGGACCAGCTCTTTACCAAGCCTGGGGAAACTGACCCCTTCAGGGTGGATTTGTCAAAGGAGAGTGAGAAAACTAAAGCCAGGCTCTTTAATTTCCCATTCTGGGTAAATCACCTCTCTAAAAGCCACTTTCTTCACTTAAAGTGGGGATAATCAAAGTATTACAGATGTAGGGTTAGAAAGGATCCCCCTCCCCCAGGTTATCTAGTTCCGATTTCCTCAGAGACGTTAAGCAATTTGCCTGTGTTGTGCAGTGAGTAGATGCTGACTTCGGGCCTTGAATCAGGAGGACAGACCTGAGTTTGAACACTGCCTCAGCCACCAGCCATGTGGCCCTGGGCATGTCACTCTGCCCTGCCTTAGTTTCCTCACCTTTAAAATAAAGACAGTAATACCACCCGCTACCTCCCAGGATTGTTGTGAGCCTCAAAAAAGATGACAAGCAATGTGTTTAATGATAATGCCTGGCACGTTAATCATGATTATTGTTATTGTTGTAACTGTGTAGGTTGAATGATAAAGACCCTGCCACTGACTTGTGTGTGACTTTAGGCAAGTAATCACCTTCTCTGAGCTTCAGTTACCTTACCAGCAAAATGCAGGAGCTGGACCAGGGCTCCCTCTAACATTGACATTCTGAAATTTGAAGTTCTTAACTTAGGCTGCATGCACAGTTCCTTAAAGGTACCCAAAGGCCTCTTCTTCCCAGCGACCAACCGATGGCAACAGGGCATGGTCCTTTTCTCATCGGCCAGGAGATCCCAAGAGGCCAAAGCCCAGACGATGGTAGAGAAGGGAAGGGCTGGCAGAGAGAGCTGGGATCTGTCCATGGCTCTCTCTGGCTAGCCACCCAGACAGAGGGAGGGCTCCGTCCTTCTTCATGCTAGAACCTTCCCTAGATATGATCTCCTGGCATCCTGATCCAGCTTCTCTGTACATAATTGTCCATGTGTGTCTTCCCCATTAGACTCTGAGTGCCATGAGGGCAGTGGCTGGTATTGTTTTTCTTTGTATCCCTAGTGCTTAGCACTGTTCTTAGCACTAGTAGGTGCTTAACAAACACTTCCTGACTTGACTCCTGCCATGGGGTTGATGCTGGTTACCTCTTTTGCCTTTCTCCGGTCATGGGGACCATCTCGGCTTGCCTTGTCTGGGACAGATCCAAGCCCTGTCCTGTGCTAGGTAGGAGCATCATAGGGTCATCTGTCTAGAAATAGAAGGCATCCAGAGGTCATCTGTTGCAACCATCTCATCTTACAGGTGAAGAAATTGGGTCCAGGGAGGTCATGACTTGCCTAAGGTTACACTGGCAGTAGATGTCATTGTCAGAATTTGAACTCAGATTCTCTTGGTCCATAACAGTTGGTGGGGTTAGGCAAAGGGATGTGTTGGCAAGGGTCATCATTCTCAATGGAGAAACGTTATGGTCTAGTGGACCAGGGGCTAGGCTTGGAGTTACAAAGACAAGTTTGCCTCCTGCCCACCTATATAGTCATGGACCCAGTTAAGTCCCAGAACCTCACAAAATTAACTGAAGGCTTAGGTACCCAGGCCCAGATTTGGGGACCCAGATTGGCTTCCCAGCAGCATCAACTATTCCACCCTCAAGATAGAGGGGTGAGATGCCTTAGAGGGAGCTCTTGCCTCTGCAGCAATACTCACCATCCTTCCTGACTCAGTTTCCCTCCACCATGGGAACAAACGTCAAAGGCCTGCCATCTTGACAACAGCCAACATTTCAGATGAGGTTGGGCGAGTGTGTGGATAGCTGCAGTCACCACTGCATTATAGCTGGTCTATACCTCCCCTCCCCTCCAGATCATAGGATCTTGGGCTGGAACAGTCACCTCATGGTCCAGCCTCCCCAATGTACAGATAAGGAAAGTGAGGCCATAAGGGTGTGGATCTTAGAATATTAGAACTAAAACTGATTGGAAGCAACCCCAGTGGTTATCTGGTCCAACCCCCTTCACTTTTCAGATGAGGAAACTAAGGCCCAGAGTGTATATGTCATAGAATGTTAGAAAGAATCTTAGAACTTGGGATGTCAGAACTGGAAGCAACCCTAGAGTTCACCTAAGCTGCCACTCTTCATTTTATAGTGGAGAAAACTGAGACTCCAAAAGGTTATTAGTAGAAGAAATAATTATAATAGTGGATATCTATGCATTGCTTGAAGTTTCAAAGCACTTCACATAAGTCATCTCATGATCCTCAAAACTGCCTTTGGAGGAAGGTGCTGCTTTTAATCTCCATTTGGCAGGTGAGTAAAATGACTCTGAGACTGGTTAAATGACTTGCCCAAGATCACACAGATGGTAAGAGCTAGGATGTAATGTCAGGCCTTCCATCGCTGAATGGAGTGTTCTTTACGCTGCATCTATTCTTAGCTCCTGTAATTTCTAACCCTATGGGGAAGATATGCCCCAATTTAGAATAAATAAATAAACAAGAGTGAAGTGTGATCTCCCCTTGAGGTTGGAGAAGAAAGGACACCCAGGGCATTTTTGGCTAACCCAGCTCCAACTCCCCTCCCACAATCATCATCTCAACTCTGTCCAAGAGCAGGAAGGTCATCCCCTAAACTCATTAGATATGTTCTGCTCCATTTACCACATAGCCTTCAATGGACCTCTCTGGAGGGGTTAAGTCATACTGGGAAAATGACTAACCCCCTGCCCTCTGCAGAGAATTAAAAATAAGCAACCTTTTTTTCTTACTCAAAGTGTAGCCTGGAATATCCCTCCCCATTCCATCCCTACCCCCAGTACCTTATACAGAAAGAACACTGATCCTAGGAAGTCTAGAGCCTTGGGCTGGCTCTGCAACCTTGGACAAGTCACTTCCCCATCTGGTCCTCAGTTTCTTCCTCTTTAAAAAGAGTGAGAGAGTAGGCTAAATGAGTTTTCAGGTCTCTTCCAGCTCTCAAAACCCTGTGGTCTTTCCAATTTGAAAATGCTCCACAATTCTTAGAAGGTTGGACAACCACCTAGATTGTATAAGAGACCAGCATGGGATCGGTTCCATCTGGAAACAGTCACCTTCTAAATGGAACAAAAGGAACCAGACCCATCAGTAACCTCCCTCCCACCTCACTCCCTGGGAGAAGCTTAGATTTAGGGCCGGGGAGACCTGGGGTCAGATGCTGCCTCAGGTGCTTACTAGCTGTAAGCCTATGATGCATCCTATCTCTGTGACATTAGGTATCACCCTTTGCACGAGCATCTGTGACTCAGCTTGACAAGTACTTATTCATCCCTTGACTCTCCCCTGGGTGGACTTAGTTATGAAACTTGCTTTCTCCTGTCCGCCAGATACTACAACAAGCTTGTTCGTAGCCTGTTGGAATGTGATGATGAGACAGTGACCAGAATCAAAGACAGCCTGATGAAGAAAATCGGCCCCAACATGGCCAGCCTCTTCCATCTGCTACAGACGGACCACTGCGCCCAAACGCCACCTCGGGCTGACTTCAGCAGGAGGCGAATGGCAGAGCCTCAGAAGCTAAAAATCTTCTTCAGGAACCTCCGAGGTGAGGATTCTGCTGCCTCCCACATCAAAGGCACATCGGCCGAGAGTGCATAACAGAGGCGGGGGCGTTCACACCCCTGCCAAGATAGTTTCATTTTAGGGGAGATAATGTGCCCATCTTGAGTGTACTGCGCCTGGTTTAATTTTTTTTTAAACGTTTTTATTTCAAAGTAGTTCCTATTATCTGTCTTCCTTTTCCTCCCACCCCCACCTCCCCACCACCACCCCATCCCTTATAGACTGCATGGAACTAGCTTCTGTATCCAGTGTCCTGTCATTGCGATGGCAATGTCCCCAAGAACTGAACAGATGTGACCCTACTGCATCTTCCCCAGTGGAAACGACCCTTGTCCATGCCCTCCCCCAAACGGCCCTCCGACCCCATCCCTCCGCGCTGTCCCTGAACCACCAGGGTTTTGAAGACGTGGAGCCCTTTAGCATAGTTACCCCATGGAGTTAGCCGCTAGGGAACCACTGGAGGTTTAACTGCGCATATCAACCGCGCCGAGAGACGCCGATGGAGTTCGTGTTATGAATCTGTGCTGGCCATGGACGAATATGAATGCTCTGCTTTGTGGGTCCCTGGTGAAGTAGCAGCGTGCGATCGCGATCCCTCCAATGTCGCCTTTCCTTTTGTATTCGGGGCTCACTACTAAAGTGCTCGTGCCTCATTCTCCAGCCTGTCACGTTGTGCTTTTCGATAGAGAATCAAACTTCTATCTCCATGTACTGTAACTGCTCAGAGCTTTAAAAGTCTCTTTAACACTTGTCTTAAAAACTAGCCTATCTTAAGGTCTAACTGTGGAATGTAAAGAGCTGAGGACTCACATACTGTAGATAAACGCCCAAGAAAGCTGCTTAGACCGAGCAGCAAATAATAATAACTTTATTGCCTAGAGATTTAGCCTCATGACATAGCTTTGTTTTTCTCTTTCTGGGAATAGGGTAGCTTCTCTCATGACTAGAAGTACATATACATGCTCTTGTGGCCTTTTTAATCTTTAAGTATAATTAAAAGGATAGATGTCACTTCCCTCTGCATCAGAATCTGAGGTGGGCCTCTATTCGTTTTGGGTCAGGGAAACCAGCGGGCATTTCTGATGAAGCCCAGCTGAGGAGCTGACCTCTTGGTCGACCACCTCAAATCTGCGGCTGCTTACTGTTCCCTTAAATCTGGCTAGGAAGTAGCTCTATATCACACGTGGGAAACGGAGTTCCCAGAGCAGTCTGTTCCGTATCTTAGGAATTGTAACTTCTTGGCAGGCCACCCCTCCATGGCAAAAAAGGATGGTGAGAAAATGAGACAGGTAGCTCACCATTCCCTCTTTTGAAGGGCAAGGGGTTGAGGGAGGTCAAATAATCCTGGGCCATCCAGCCTTAATAGAAATCTCCAGTATTTTATGTTTTCTGGGCTTTATCATGTTGCTGACCATCATTAAATGGCCGGCTGGGGATGGCATTGCAGCTTTTCGAGGAGAGAAAGACAGAGACAGAGACGAAAATCCCCCCCACCCCACCACACCCCAGAGCTGGGGGTTTCATCAGCTTACTCATAAGGCCTCAGTATCACGAGTAACTTCTCGATATACGTCCAAAAGTTTCTCAAGGTCACTGTCCTTGGCCTTGGTGGTCCCTCCCAGGCAATGCTGCCCACCAGAAGTCAAGCCTTCTAAACTTACTTAGATAGAAACTATTGGTGCTTCATTCTCCCTGAAATATAGGCAGGAGGTGACCCCATCCTGTAGATTCCCAGAGAGAGAAGGGATGAGGGCAGAGTAGGTCTCTAGCTAAAGAGGAAGCAATACAACCAACCTTACCACAAAGCCTTTAAACCAATCACTTGCTGCCAAGGTACCCAAAGCAGCTGTGTGAATGTTACTGCCCCCCTCCTCCCCCTAAGCCTGCCCCCCCATGAAGCCCATCCTCGGGGCATTCAGCAGTGAGCTGAGCCTATGGACCTGAAGGGTCACCTGCAGCTCTCCACTCCCAAAGAAATGGGCACCATGTCATCTTGTTGGGCATTGGGTGAACCATAGTCTGGGGCCCCCTTTATCAGGTAGGGTCGATGACTTCTCTAAACAAGAAAAGCTAATGGCTTGTGTGTCCTTATCCACATTAGCCATCCCACTGAGCTAGGATCCCTGTTGGGGTTTCAGCAAAATTACCGGGGAATGTCTTACATCAGTCATGGGAATTCTTTCTTTTTGCTGTGGTTCCTTCACACCCCTCTAAAGTATATATACATATATGTATATGTGTGTGTATATATGTATATATACATATGTGTACATATATAATTTATGTATTTATGGAAAGAAGCAATTCTTACTTGTCAATTTTCTTTTTTTTTTTTGCTTCTCCCCTCCCTTCCCACTCCTTCTCCCCATCGCCTCCCTACCTACTGTTCCAAAGTTTTTGTCTTGAATTCCCTGCCCAGAGTGATTTGGGGGCAGATCTCCACCTGTCTGCATGATTCTTCTCTTGTGATCTGGTTGCACTTTAGAAAATTTTGTGCCATTATATTTGCATTAATGTATTTATAATTTAAATGATATTTAGGGGGTTGGGGCTGAGTACTGGAATAAACAGTGAGCATATCTGGCATATGTCATTATTTATTGTTGAATTACATTTTAAGCTCCATGTGCATATAAAGGTTATTAAACATATCATGGTAATGAGAGATTCAAGTTATTTTCTTTGCTTATTTTTATAATTAAAAGATACCATAGCATAATATGAAGTGAATTCCTTCTGAGACAAAAAAATAAAGTGTTAAGTTTTATTTTTTGCCCTCTTTGGTGTCTTTCATTGTTTTGTTTTGTTCTGTTTTGTTAGTTTTCATGTAGAATGACATCCCACTATATAGCACAGGTTTGGAAGGTCCTTTACTTTATCCCTTAGGCAGCAGTGAGTCAGCTTTGGAGATTTAAAAAGAAGGTCTGTCTCATACCATGTTTCTGGGGCTCCTTAACTTTCTAGAGAGGGGCACTAGGGTGCTGGGGCTCTTTCTAGGTGAAGTCAGACTCTGGGGAAAATTAATGAATGATTTCTTAGTCCTTTCTCTTCAGCTCTGCCTGGGTGACCTTAGGCAAAGCTCTTTATTCCTCTAAACCTCAGTTTCTCCTTCTGTCCAATAAGGGAGTGGGGATAGATGACCTTTAAGGTTCCTTCTAGCTCTAAATATGAGCCTTAATTGTCTCTTCAGATTACGTTTTGGTCCTTCAGTTCCTGTGTATTATTGACGACTAATACAAGGGTTGCCACCTATAGGCAGAAAATATATTACATCTGTCTGATCCAGACTGCTAAAACTTCTCATTGCACTGTTTTCCCACCAAATTGGCCCAAATCACCAGCTTAGTAATGATTGTTAGGGGGATCACTTCAGACTCCTTCCCTATGAACATGGGTATATGGCTACAAGTAAAGGAAATCATTCCTTTTGTGTAAAAGTCAAGCTTTGTACGACCTAATCTCTAAGGTTGCCACCAGCTCTAATCTGTGATCCTGTGGATGGATTAATTCTGTGAATAAAGGACAGACAGCTCGTTTTATTGTCAAAGAATCTCAGAATCTTCTCAGCAGCCATCCGAGCAAACCCCTACCTGAAACAATGGTCTTGGAGTTATGAAGTTGTCACTGAGTCATTTCAGTCACGTTTGACACTCCGTGACCCCATTTGGGCTTTTCTTGGCAGTGATACTGGAGTGGTTGGCCATTTCCTTCTCTAGCTCATTTTGCACATGAAGAAACTGAGGCAAATGGGATTAAATGACTTACCCAGGGTCATACAGCTACTGTATGTCTGAGGCTGGATTAGAGCTCAAGAAGATGAGTCTTCCTGACACTATCTACTGCACCACCCCATTTTACAGATAAAGAAATATAGACAGATGGAAATTACTTGTCCACCACGCAGCAAGTATCTGAGACAACATTCAAATTTGGGTCACCCTGCCTCTAGGACCAGCACTGTCCACTGAGCTATCTAGCTGCCTCAGACACAGGCATGTGACTCTCAGCAAGTCACTGTGACTCTGTCTGCCTACATTTCTTCATCTGTAAAATGGGGATAATAAAAGCACCTACATATGTCAGTCAATAAACATTTATTAGGCACCTGCTATTTCCCAGACACTGTGCAGCAAAGACAGCCCCTGGCCTCAAGGAGCTTACAATCTAATAGGGGAAGACACACAAAAGAAAGCTAAAAATCTGGGGAGCAGGTAAAGAGGAGGGGGAGGTACCTAACACTGGGACATGATGGAAAAGTCCGAAAGCATTTGGCAAATCTTAAAGTGCTATGTAAATGCTAGCTATTATTATTATTATTATCAGTTTATTATTGGGCAGCTAGGTGGCACAGTGAAAAGAGTGCCAGGCCTGGAGTCAGAAAGACCTGAGTTCAAATCCCACCTCAGACTCCTACTATTTGTGTGACCCTGGGCAAGTCACTTAACCCTGTTTACCTCAGTTTCTTCATCTGTAAAATGATTTGGAGAAGGAAATGGCAAGCTATTCCAGTATCTTTGCCAAGAAAATCTCAAATGAGGTCGCGGAGAGTCAGACATGAGTGAATAACAACAAACAACATTATCATCAATCTCTTTTACAATACCCCCAGTGATTGGTTATCCCACCATTGATGGAATTCCAGCAACAGTAAGCTCACTACCTCTCCAGGTAGTCCATACCACTTTGAGAGGTCCTTAATCAATGACAAGTTTTTCCTTCTATCTAGCTAAAATCTGGCTCAGTGACTTCTCCCCATTCTCCTAATTCTGCCCTCTACGACCAAGCAAAACAGAGTTAATCCCTCTAATATGCAGCAGCCCTTCTACACTGGAAGCACATTATATCTCCCCTAAATCTTTCTTAAACTAACTGTACCCAGCTCCTTCAATCTTCCTGGAGCACAGGCTCCAGTTTCTTTGCCCCTCTTACCTAATCAATGTTGTCCCTAAATTGTTCTGCCCAGAGGAGAATCTGACCAGGGCAGAACACCACGGAACCAGTGCCTCCTTCTTCCTAAAAGTGGTGCATCTCAATGTAGTCCAAGATCCAATCATCTTTGGGGGCTGACAAAGACATTGTGTTGTTGCCCCTGCTTAAGTGTGTAATTCACCAAAATCTCCAGATCTTCTTCAAAGGAGCTTCTGTCCAGCCAAGCCTTTACTTACCCCAGCCTAGGCTAGTATGTCAGGAGAACTTTGTAGACATCCCCATGTTAGGGCAGAGCCAAGATGGCAGAGTGAAAGCAGTGACTTGCTTGAGCTCTCCCCCAAACCCCTCCAAATACTCATTAAAAAATGGCTCTAAACAAATTCTGAAGCAGCAGAACCCACAAAAGACAGAGTGAAACAAATTTCCAGCCCAAGACAACCTGGATGGTTGATCAGAAAGGCATATCGCACCAGGCTGGGAGCACAGCACAGCACAGCACAGTGTAGGGAAGCAGGCCACAGCGAACCTGGAGCAGGCCTCAGAGGACTGAATCTTGGGCAGCTGTGGAGGTTTCCACACTCCTCAATCCACCAATGGCAAAGACAACTTAGAAGGTCAGTGGGAAAAGTCTGTTTCTGTCGGTTTTGAGAAAGGAAGGCAGGGTCTCAGCTCCATTCCCCAAGAGCGTGGCCCCAGGGGGGCAGCTGCTTCCCGAGCTTCTGGCCCACAGACTGAGGGGGAATCCAGTGGCTGATCAGAGAGGGATTGCAGGGATCTCTTTGCCAGTGCTGAGGCAGGAATCTCTTGCTTTGCCCGTTTGGATCTGGGTCACAGTTCTGGGGCAGTGCTGGGGTGAGGAGGAGCACTGGCTGGTGGAGCTTGTAGTGGCTGTGGAGAGGAACCCTCCTCACAGTTACAGGACAGAAAGGAGTACTTGTGTCACAGGCCAGGAAAGGAGTAAACACCTCGCCCCTTATCATACCACCTTGGAAGAACTGAAAATTTACAGGTCCCTACAAGTATCTCTGAAAACAGCTGTACAAACCCCAAGCTTGGGACAGTACATTCTCCACATTGGAAGCAGACTTTACCTTAACAAAGAGTTTAAAACTCAAGTAATTGGCTGATCATGAGCAAGCAGTGCAAAAAGAGTCAGACTATATTATCTTACTTTGGTGAAAAGAAGATCAAAATATACAACCAGAAGAAGACAACAAAGTCAAAGCTCCTACATCCAAAGCCTCCAAGAAAAATATGAATCAGTCCCAGGCCTTGGAAGGGCTCAAAAGGGATCTTGAGAAGCAAGTAAGGGAAGTAGAGGAAAAACTGAGAGTGATGCAAGAAAATCAGGAAAAACAAGTCAACAGCTTGCTAAAGGAGACCCAAAAAAATACTGGAGAAAATAACACCTTAAAAAATAGCCTAACCCAAATGGCAAAAGAGGTCCAAAAAGCCAATGAGGAGAAAAATGCCCTAAAAAGAAAAATTGGCCAAATGGAAAAGGAAGTCCAAAAGACTGAAGAAAATACTTCCTTAAAAATTAGAATAGAGCAATTGGAAGATAGTGACTTTATGAGAAATCACGACACAGTAGAATAAAACCAAAGAATGAAAAATTAGAAAACAATGTGAAATATCTCATTGGAAAAACAACTGACCTGGAAAATAGATCCAGGAGAGAGAATTTAAAAATTATTGGACTATCTGAAAGCCATGATCAAAAAAAGAGCCTAGACATCATCTTTCAAGAAATTATCAAGGAAAACTGCCCTGATATTAGAACCAGAGGGCAAAATAGAAATTGAAAGAATCCACAGATCTCCTCCTGAAAGAGATCCCCAAAGGAAAACTCCTAGGAATATTATAGCCAAATTCCAGAGTTCCCAGGTCAAGGAGAAAATATTACAAGCTGCCAGAAGGAAAACAGTTCAAGTACTGTGGAAACACAATCAGGATAACACAAGATTTAGCAGCTTCTACATTAAAGGACCACAGGGCATGGAATATAATATTCCGGAGGGCAAAGGAGATAGGATTACAACCAAGAATCACCTACCCAGCAAACTGAGTATAATCCTTCAGGGGAAAAAATGGTCATTCAGTGAAATAGAGGACTTTCAAGCATTCTTGATGAAAAGACCAGAGCTGAATAGAAAATTTGACTTTCAAATACAGGACTCAAGTGGAACATGAAGAGGTAAACAGGAAAGAGAAATCATAAGAGACTTATTAAGATTGAACTGTTTACATTCCTGCATGGAAAGATGATATTTATAACTCATGAGACCTTTGTCAGTATTAGGGTAGTTGGAGGAAAAAAATTATATGTATGTATATGTAGATAGATAGAGGGCACAGGGTGAGTTGAAGATTAAGGGGTCATATCTGGAGAACAAAAGTAAGGGATGAGAGAGGATGATACTCATAGAAGAAGAAAGGGAGAGGTAGAATGGGGTAAATTATCTCACAAAAAAAAACAGAAAAGTCTCTTACAGTGGAGGGGAAAGGGGAAGGTGAGAGGGAATGAGTGAATCTTATTCTCATAGGATTTGGCTTAAGGAGGGAATAACATACACATTCAATTGGGTATGGAAATCTGTCTTACCCTACAGGAAAATAGGGGGAGAAGGGGACAAGAGAGCAGGGGGAATATAGAGAGGAGGGCAGATTGGGAAAGGGTGGAATCAGAAGTAAATACTTCTGAGGAGGGACAGGGTCAAAAGAAAAAATAGAATAAATGGGAGGGCAGGATAGGATTAAGGGAAATAGAGTTAGTTTTTCACAACATGTCTACTATGGACGTGTTTTGCATAACTGTACATGTACAACCTATATTGA